AAACATTAGTGAACAAAGTAGTAATTGTTGATGCAAACGTTTCTTTGACTATTTGATCGGTATTTTTGACAAATTGTGATGAAGCCACCAGATATGCATTGTAAATACCATAAGGAGAAATACTAAGAGCAATGAGAATAATTTGAATTAAAGTCATTTTAACAACCTGAAGATCTACTTGTCGTCCAGTAAGAATTCTTCTCGAATGAATATTACGATAAGTTAAGTATCCAAATGCTGTGGTAAATGCAATTAGTACAAAACTATTGTAAGTAAGAACATAAATTGATATATAAGTAGTATATCCATTGTTAGTAACCATGCAAATATTAGTTGAAGATGTAATATTACCAAATATTAGTCCAGGAATACCGTGTAGAAGCCAAATAAGTATAACAATGAAAATGATTCTATGTGCTCGTTTGATATGACTCCATTGACGAAGGCGAACAATGCTTGATGTTATCAAGAATTGATCCATTGCAGTTAAATATGAACATGTAAATGACATGAGAACAAATATACTAGAACAATACAAACGTATTTTACACCACACAAGCGATGTACGGGTTAAATCTATTTGGTAGCCACTCATAATAATTCGAGATATGGATATTGTTGTTAAATATAATATATTATCAATTGAAGCAATCAGAAAATAAAATGTACAAGATGTTCGATAATAAGTACGGACACTTGAAAATATCCATATATTAAGACTATTACCAATTATACCGATGATTACAACAAACCATCCGAAGTATATTGTTATTTGTTGACCAATATATGGTAAGGACATTACTGTTGAATAATACGATATATCTAATAAAAGTGTTTTTTTTTAAAGAAAAGGGAGCTTTATGTCGAAGTAAATTATAAATGAATGATTCAGGCGAACTGAAAAGATAATGTATTAATGTTTCAAGGGAAGGAAAAAATCATTTATTTATATCTTATGGGGCTAGATAAGTTAATAAAAAGTTAACCATCGAAAGGATAGGAGGAAAAAAAGATTATGAGCTTTTACGTTGAATAGTCAATAAATAACCTTCGTCAAGGTTGACTTGCATTGCCTTTGACAGAATTGATAACTGAAGATACAATAACCTCTATGTGCATTTCACATAAAAAACAAGTAGCTCTCACCCTTTTTTGAAAGAATTAGAGAAGTAAGAGATAAAAACTCGCACTTAGATCGCAACCTAATCGACGTCGAATTGAAGTCATTTTATTGCACGTTCTTTCCTTTTAATCCTTTTCGATTTTATTCATGTCAAATTACTTTCAATTCGTTTGTCCAAAGATGGAAGGAAAACGAACACTGTTTCAATACATTTATTCATCGACTCTCCTTCGAATATTCAAAATAAAAAAATCAATCTACTTTCACTCATTTAATCTTCTCGATGGAACTCAAATAAACGTCCAGTCATTCGTCGGCCTTCCTTCAGTCGGCTACTCGCAACTAATCGTTACGTGTACATTTTCACTCTTTCATCTAGTTTAGAATCACTTTCAAAACGAATCAATTCGTCTTAAAAGCTGCCGTTTCTGTATAACTGTGTGTCTCTCGAAGACAACACTTGACAAAAGAAGCATTATTTTGAGTGGCTGGCATCAGACGATGTTTGTGCAATATAGCTGCTTATATCATTTTGATGCCATTGATGCGCTGATGACTAAGGAGATCGAACAATCTGACGTCAGTCAGCTATTTCGTTTTGCTCTACACATTTCTGCTTAATATACTATTGCCTAAAAAACCGATCTTTTGTCGTAAAAAACAAGACAGATGCTTTTTTCGAACAAACTGACACCGGATCAAGAGGGAAACGGCGGACTTGAAGTGCAAAAGTACGTCCAAGTAAAAAAGTAGTTTGAAGTACGCCAAAGTAGCCTAAAGTACACAGAAGTGGTCTCAAGTCCAGTAAAGTCCTTTCAAGTTAGGGTGAAGTCCAGCAAAGTACTTGAAAATTATGATGAAGTATTGACAAGTACTTTGGAATTACGTTAAAGTTTGGCGAAGTACCATAAAGTACTGAGAAGTACAGTGAAGTACGCTCAAGGATCGTTGCTGTAGAAACAGCGTACTCAGTAAATAACAACACGTTGGACAAATACGAATGATCACTTTATCTAGATTTAACAGAAGAATATCACTATCAAAACAAAAACTTTTGAACATAAGGAGATTATTTGTTAGAACTAGCCATTTGTTGTCGAACTCGAGATAGGCGATCAGTGGACAGTGTTGTTGTATTGTTGGATAAGAGCCAACATGCCGACTGCTTATGAAGATATTTTATGTTGTCATTTATCTTGATTTTGAAATATGACTGCCTGAAATCTGGTTTAATATTATCAACTACTCTTATTCCATCAAACTCCGATTTCGTAGAATTGAATGTATCTTCTTCGTCGTCACTTTCATCATCATTTTGTGAAGTGGATACTGTTTCAACGTCTAATAGATTTTGTGAATAATTTCCGTTGTCATTATCATCGTTCTCTTCATCTAATCCAAATTCGTCATCGATGGTGTTTGCTGCTGGTAAAGAATAATTAATCATTCTTGAATTTTTATTCAATGTATGGAAAACATATTCACTGAGATCGTTTAAATTATGTATATTACATTGATTTAATGTATCCAACATTCTCGAGTGTTTAACCATACGTATTGCTTCGTCATAAGCTTTTGAAATTAGTTGTTCCACGTCTAATGACTCTATTTCGTTTAATTGATGCGATAACGATAATGAGTCCTGACGCTGATGTTTATGATGTACGGGGAACGACAAATCTGTTTCCACTTGATTATATTTTACTTCGTTCAATATAGACAGCTTTCGTGAGCGTCGCATAAAGTCTTTTACTGTGAAGTTAACCCTTGTCGAGAATGCACCACTCAACGATCGCGCATCTCTGAATATTGATTCACAAGCCTGTGAGTTGAATAAATGAACGTTAAGCAATACTTGTTT